GAGCACTGAATACAGAACCAATCAAAAAGTGTTATTTTCAATCCCTCAATTGAATCTGGTGCCATTTATAAGACCAACCAGAAAAGTGCTATTTTCATTCCTTCATTTACGACTGGCAGGAAGCCAAATGAGTCTTTCAATAGGACAGTGTAAATCTGGTGCTAGACCAAGTGAGTTTCGGATAGGATGCTGTCTTGGTGCCTTATGTGCATAAATTTAGGACACAAAAGACCCCTTTATCCCTTATCCTTAGGACTGATATGAGACCCAGTCAGGTGTACCTATTTCCCACCTTCAGTAAATGCACACTTTTGCTACCTTTTCTGTGTGTCTTGGCCAATTCTTTGTTCAGAAGCGGAAGGACCTGGAGAAGAATCCCCACGAGACCATCCCCCCAGTAATAGACACAGAGCTTCCATGCCTTCTGAGCACCCCCTATCCAAACCGCCAGGTGTCCGGCTACCCACAAGGACGCTGGACCCACTCCTTTTTGGAGGGAGTTTTATATATGCTTTTTTATGCAAGCTTGATTGATTAAATCACTAGCCACTGGCAATCAACTCAACCTTCATTCTCATTACCCTCATCCCAAATGGGGGCCTAGAATGAATCAAGTTTCAGCCCTCTGAGCATAAGGCTGGTTCCCCTGGAAACAAACCTTCCCATCCTGTGCTTATCTGGAGACTTTCCCAAAATCTCCTTACTAACCTGAGTTCAGATGTGTTTGAAAGGGCTGGGAGTAGAAAACAAAACACCGTCTTTTGCTTTTATGGTTCTGAATCTATTCCAGCATCACTTCAGGAACCAAAGATAAAAGACCAATTTGTTTTAATTAGTGTTATAGGTACATTTAAGATATGCAACAAAATGACGTTCAACATTAGAAATGTGCACCTTTACATAATCTATCTTTTCTTATTTTTCCCAATTCCCCTACCCTCCCTTCAACCCCTGCACACCTATGTACAGACTTTGTTTCCATTTTTCATTTTCTCATATTAATCATGTTCCCCCTTTCTTTCCCTACCCTCCCACTTCCCCTTCCCCTCTGCACCTTTTCTTCCTGTCTCGCATTATCTATTAGACCTTTTTGTCCTTATTTACACTTTTAGTTTCTCACACCAGATAAACTATTCGGTATTTACACGTGTGTCCTGCTTACTTTACATAAGAGGAAAAGGCCCATTTCTTTAACAGAAGAAAGTACTTTTATGTTTTAGTACAGAGGAAATAACAACTCTTACAGGAGCTATGAGTTCAGGTCCGTGGAAGTGGCAGCAAACCTCAGATCCACATATATCTCACAACATCACACCCCTTGCAGACACCTCCAACTTACCGACACTGATGTCCTGACCTCTCACAACTCAACCTGTCCAGCTATTCACGCCAACAACTTGCAGCCATCTTTCATGAGTCTATTCCACACTCCCATTCAATGTCCCCAAATCAAAAATATATCCAAACAAATCCTGTAGTTTCTCACGTCAACCACTGTACTCCTGGTCCCAGCCACTACCATCTCTCAATCATACACTTGCCATAGCCTCCTGCATTGTTCTCCACAGAGCAGGCGATCCAATATAAACAAAACCATGTATATGATTTTAAATTTTCTAGTAGCCACACGAGAAAAGGAACAGTTAAGTTAATTTAATAATGTATTTTGATTAAACCAGGATATCTAAAATATTAGCATTTCAATATGTCATCAACCAAAAAATAAGCAGCAAGATACTCTGCATTATTTTTTTCATACTAATTCTTCAAATTCTGGTATGTATTTGGCATTCACAACACATTTCAGTTTGGACCAGCCAAAATCAAAGTTCTCAATAGCCACAAATCACTAGTGACAACCATACTGGACAGAGTAGCAACAGAATATTGTAAAAACAGCTTTCAGAAAATGTAACTAAGCCATTCCTCTAAATATGCCAGCGTTTCCTCATTTCCCTCCGAGTAAAAGTCAAACTCCCTTCAATGGCCAATGGGAATCTTTATAATTCTTTATACCCTCTCTCCTCCTTTTGTCCTTCTCCACCCATACCTGTGTTCCTTGGTAGTTTTTTGTCAGCTACTCTCCTGGAGTAGAGAGGAGAGGGCCCGTTGGGATGCTCCCACCCCACGATGGAATAGATGTCTCTATCCTGGCTCCCACAGAATCCTGAGTGTGTATTTCTGGTGTGGCATTTAACAAAAGGTACTGAAGTCAGCTGTCTACTTGTCCAGATTGTTCATTCAACTGAACCCAGCCGGCAGCCAAGGACTGGTGTCTTGCATCTTTTGTCTGCAGGTCGTAGCATAAGGCCTGGCCCCTGAGAGGAATTCTGATTCTTAAAGCTAAACCTCAGATATTACTGGGCAGTTCTCCAGCTCCAAGGAACAGAAGACCTTCAGAAATGGCCCTTCTTGAGAAGGGAGGTTTCAGGCTGTCTTGGTCAAAGACTGAGAATACACTCTCAGGCCAGATTATTCCACAAATCTAGGAAAGTGAAATGCTGCCCTCAGGGTAGCTCTAGAAACCAGTTCAGACCACTGCTTATGGCAAAACATGTAAACAGGCAATTTAGATGAGGTGAGATCGGGAGGGGACCAAACAATTACTGTGCGACACATTACATATCTCTTGTGCTTTCTACTTACAGAAAAGGTCTTTAATAAAACTCTTGCACGTTCCACTTTTCAAATTGGCTCTTCTACAATGTATTTTTAAAAGCCACTTACAGGAGGCCAGAATTTACCTCAACCAACTGCAACAGAGCTTTCTTTCCTCAGCACCATGGTAGAGGAGCAGCTGCTGCGCCCTCCACAGCAGGCACCAGACCTTAGCTCCAGTCACATCCAGTCAGGTCATCCTCCCCAGGGAGGCAAGGTGAGTGGGCTCTGGAGAATCTGTTCTCCAACAAATAAGAGACATTCATCATGCTGAAATTCTTGGGAGAGGCCTTCAGACACAGGAAGGCTGTCATGGGATTGCTCTTGTTCCCACTATCGTGTCATCCGCCATGCTGTAATCCAGCCAACAGGTCCCTTTCCAGAGACCACACTGATGGGGCTGCCCAATCTTGGAATTTCACCCTCCAAAACTCTGAGAAAAATAAGCCTCTTTTCTTTAAAGCTACATAGCTTCCAATATTTTGTTATAGCAACAGAAAACAGATTAATACAGTACCTCCAGTGTGCTATAAGAATTAATACAAGTAAAGTAGTTGGAACAGTACCCAGAGCGAAGTGTGTGTTGCATAGGGACACCTGTTATTTCTCACACTTTCTATGAATCTTTACCCTTGACCTTATCATTTTTCCATCTACATATTTGTCTCTTCATCTAGAGTGACTATGCATGCATTTCAACAGCGATGATGCGGGAGGAGGTAAACATCTTAGTTATTTTATGTATAACGAATAGACGGACTGATAGTTTATAATCAGATATGTAGTGTACTGGTACAGTTAAAGTTTCATGGGGAAGGTTGGGATGAGTCTTTGGATGTGTCCTACTGGAAAAGCACTTCACTAGCATGAGCAGGACCCTGAGTTCCATTCCCAACACCACGGTAGAAAGAAAGAAAGGAGAAGAGAAAGAAGAAAGGAGGGGAGGGCGGAGAGGAGAGAACCAGGGGGCAGTGAAGGAAAGCGTAAGAAAACCCCACAGGTGCAATAATGAAAAGTAAGATCAAAACTCAATGCCCTGGGCTGCACGATCCAAGAGCTGACTTGCTCACTCTTGGAATACCCAGCCCCAAGTGCTATGCCCACGGCAAGCACGCAGCCCATAAAGAAATTCACTTCACTCTCAAGTGATACCTTAGAAGTCCACATTTCCCTTCGGTTTGCACTGAGCCACATCCCTCTCTTCATTGCAATCTCAGGAAGGAAGGAAGAAGGGAAGGATGATTTGCAAGAAGCCATTTATCAGCAACTAGTGTTTGGTGACTGCAGGGAAGTCCAGCCCATAGCAACAGCCTGGCTTCCACCCAGTCTTCAGCACTTGGAGGCCCATTCAGTCCTCTGGAAAATCCCAGCCAGGTCAGGGCCCACAGGGTCACCACTTCCCTTTGAGCCCCTAGCAACTCCCCCATGAACTCAGGCCCAGCCTCCCCTCAGCCCCCAATACTAACTATCCACAGCATACTACCCTGGGGGTTACAAATCAGATACAAAATTTGAAACATACGTCCAGGTGACTGATGCTGGTTTAATGATTCTGCATCCTCAAATCTGTATAGAAGATAAAACCTACATCCACAGGTAGAGAGCAAAAATGGTGGGATTTCAGGCATCTCCTGAGTCAGTCATGGGATTTTACTGGATATACTTATAGTTTTGTTGTTTAGAGGGGATTTTCTGGTAAGAGCGATGACTTTCTTACTACTTTAAATCATACCACGTAGCTAGGGTGTGGATTTGCCTATGTACAGGACTGGCCTCAGTGACACCACTTGTCTGGGAAATAATAAAATCAAGGGAGAATACTCCAGCACAAGCTTGTCATGAAGCACTCACTGGATAGATGTTTGTTGATTGTCTTTGAAGCACATTTTTTAAAAAGCTTTGGTCCTCTGAGGTACTTACCTTTAATAAGGCAAGGGGGTAAGGGATGCTGAAAGAACCCTAGGCCACATAAGCTGCCACCGTGCCCCAGCCCTTGGTCAGGTTCCAGGTGTGCGCCCAAGAGCCATCATGAATGGGGGACTTGTCGCTGCACCCTTGCCCAGGCCTGAAGGGAATGCCAAGCAGAGCCCAGGTTGGGACTCACAGGCCAGCAGGCAGGACCATCCACAACATCCCATCTGTAGCCCACATCTGCAACCCGTCCACAGCTCAGGGGAAGCAATACACCCAAGAGCCTGTGTCAATAAACATGCAGAGCACAGGCAGGTGAGGAAGCCCTGGGAATGAGATTTTTTCAGCTGAACCCTTGGAGCAGGAAGTTAGATGTATAGTTGTAATTACAGAGAGTGAAAATCTTTATTTACATTTTCTCTTCATTCGTGTCTTTAATGAGTGCCTGCTAATGGCACGTGTGGATTGGAAAGGCCTTAACTGAGGCTCTCTGCAGCTTGTCATTCTTGTGAGCCAATTACAAGGTGCAGCTCATTGCTGAGTGCAGCAACTTCAGGCTCATTATGGCAAACAGGTGTCTCACCAGTAACAGTGGTCATTCTAACCCCCTACAAAGAGAAGGGAGAAAGTTAGAGACAATGGGAGGACAGCTCAGCACCTGGTAGGAACAGCTAGTGGTTGTGCGGTGCAGTGCTCTGCGTTCTGAAAAGCTCCACCCTTGTCCCACAAAGGCTCTCCTCACTCACTGTTCCAGATACTGTGCCAGCTGAGCATTATGCTTAAGGAGCCTAGAAAGCAGGAAAGGGGCACCATTCATCTCTCCTCCTATGAGCCAGGCACTGATCCAGCTGCTCTCCACTTGAGTAATCCTCACCTCAGTATGATGTGGGATTATTTCTCCCATTTTGCAGGCAAGAAACTCAGGCTGTTGGTCTAGTGCAGTTATTCTCAAAGTTAACAATATACCAGAATCACCAGGGGCTCATTAAAACATAGATTGTTGGCCCACACCCAGTTTTAGTTTCAGTAGTTCTTGGGGCTGGGGTGGGACTGGGAATTTGCATTTCCAACAAGTTCCCAGAGCAGGTTCATATTGTTAGTCTGCTAAGGTTAGAATGTGTCCCCCAAAACTTCATTTGTTAGAAACTGGATCTCCAAATTCATATGCTGACAGTATTCACAGGTGGGGCCTTCAGAAAGTCATAGGGTCTGGATGAGGTTATAAGGGTGAAGCACCTGTGATGGGTTTTTCAGAAGAGTGACCTGAGCTTGCTTACTCCTCTTCTGTGATACCTGCCATCTTGTATGATACAGCAATAAAGCCCTTACCAGATGCTGAAACCAGAAAGGAAACAAGTCTGTTCTTCATATTTGACTCAGTCTTAGTGAATCTGTCAGAGAAATAGAAAATGAACCAAGTCATGGTCCTGGGTTACAATTTGAGAACCACTGGAATAGTAGAAAAAGTATGAGTTGAGATTTGATATAGACTCAAGTTCACATAGGAAGCAAATATAAATCCTGTGCCTTTCAGTAGGATAATTGTCATGTCCATAAACCAGCTGAGCCTTGACTACAAAACGGAGCTGATGGCATCTGCTTCCCAGTGTCGCTCAGAGTATTTGCAATAATGTGTATAAAGGGCCTAAGAAGATCTAGGTGGCAGGAGGTCAGCGTGAAATTCCTGCTGTTACCACGGCCAGACATCCTGACAACCTTGTACCCTGGGTCAAGCACAGTCAGAGCTGGAACCCAAGTCTTTCTGGAAGTTTGGCTCTTTTCCTCCTTAGGCCTTCCTTTTCCCCACACATACTTCTCACCCCAAAAATCTCAATGCACTTATAGGGTATAATGACACCTATCATTCCAAATACAAGTCGGCCACTATTGTTTTCCTGCCTGAATCTTACTCCTCAGAAAAAACTTAAATTCCTTGGAAAGGAAACCAGGTTTTACCTGCTTCTACCTTTCTCCAGCACAAAGAAACCTAGAAGTCCCTGGAAAGTCCCGGAGCAGGGAGACCTCCTCTCCAAGGAGTTCTCAAACTCAGCCTCAGCCTCATCTCTAGAGATCCAACCCCTCTTCTCAGCTGCACCTAAATTTGTGAAAGAACTTAACACCTTGAGTGGTCATCGCTTATCCTTCCAACCTTACACACACCACAGGAAGTTCCATGAGATTAGACACAAGTGTCTTGTTCATTATCATATAACCACTTGGTCTTCACTAAACATCTGTTAGAAGAACAGATAAAGTCCCCAGGAAATCCCGTTTGAAAAAATTTTCTTCTCTCCAGATTTGCTAGTAGAAAGTCCTGGAAGTGGAGAGAAAGGCTAAAAGCTTCCTCACTGGTACGGAATGTAAGAGGTCACCCTAGGACACCCATACAATTCAGGATATTCAGGATAGTCCTAGATTTTTTTCTTATCCACCATAATAATGCTATTTAACTCTCAAAGGGGTCCACACTTGGAGAAAAGATTATATGGCCACTTTATGATTGATAGAAGCAAGAGCTTGTAGCAACCCATGAAAGAGATGCAAAAACAAGTCATTCATAACTTCAGAGTCCCAGAAAGAGGATTCTCTGAGACCACTGGCAATGAGAGGCACGTTTGGGGGTCACTTGTCCCACTCCAACCCAAACCTCTGCCCTTCGCAAGACATACTCTCTTCTTCATCTGTTCTCTCCAAGTCAGAAATGCTATCTTATGAAATGCCAGGCCACTTCCAACATGTTGGGCTGGGTCATAAACCAAGGACAAAGTCTTCCCTATCATATCCCCAGCACCTCAAGGAAGTAAGGCACATTTATCATTGGTTTTACTTTCCCTTCCCTCTCGCCCACTGCACAGGCTATAAAGGAAAGACTGGAAAGGGGAATGCAGAATAGAAAGAACTCTTATTTACTTAGAGCAAGGTCACACCTCTCCACTCAGAACAGGTCTTCCTCTGGCAAAGCTCTTTGAAGCAGGTACCCACAGAGAGCCACAGATGTTTCCCTATGGCCAATACATTCCTCAGGTGATAAGTTTTGCACCCTAAATGTTCGGGTGATGGAGACCACCCTGAGCAAGCTACAAATTCATAAATTGACTTTTCATATTAAAAGTCTGAGTCTGCCTATTAGCCCAGAGTGGCTTTTCTGAAGAGTCAACAGTTGGTGTGTGAGAAAAAAACAACTCCCCACTCCACTGATCACAGTGGAGGTCCCAATGATCTGTGACGACTTGGCTGTGACGACAGTATAGCAGCCAAGGGCAGCATGACTATTACAGAAAACTACCATGGCGGCAAAAGTCAATCCATGGGAAGAAAAAAAAACTCCTATTAATCAATGATCTGTTCCTACCAGAATATCTTGTTCCCTTGTTGCTAAGGACCCCGCTCATGTAAGTGCTCTCTACCTCACTGTTCCCTGCACAACCCCTTACCCCTTCTAGAAGCTGTGTGTTCAATAAATAGTGGCAGGCTCCAGAAGATGCTGTCTGAGCCAGATAAGAGCTTTGACCATCCTAGGCCCCCATTTATGCATTAATATATTGTCTTTTTTAATCCTGCATCATACCCTTGATCAGGTGATTAAGTCTGATCACCCTCCGTTGGGGAGCGTGCCCAAATGGGGTGGAGAGCTGGGGGAGCTGCTGGAAAAGACCACACTCTGCATTTGAGAGGTCTGCTTCCAGTTTAATGACAACATTAGCACACACCTGTAATACTGAAACTAAGTCCAATCCCCATATATTTTACTGGATTAAGTGTAAATATTCTAATTTTTTCCAAAAGAATTAAAATAACCATACCACAGTGATATATGCGCACCCATGTTTATAACAGCACAGTTTGTAATAGTTAAAACTTGGAAACAGCCCATCTGCCCATCAGTCAGAGACTAGATAAAGAAGATGTGGATTTTCTATAAAATGGAATACTACTCAGCCATAAAGAATGAGAAATTAGAGTCATTCATAGGAAAATGGATGCATATTGAGGATATGCTCCTAAGTGAAATAAATAAGTCACACCTGTGTAAATACCGAATAGTTTCTCTGGTGTGAAAAACTATAATCGTATGTAAGATCCTAGTGGTATAATTGACAGTGTGAAATAGGAAGAAAAGGGCTAAAGGTGTAAGGGAAGTGGGAAGGGTACTGGAAAGGAAATAAGGGAAAAAATATGAGAAAATGAAAAAATGGAAATAAAGTTTTTGTAAATAGAGAAGAGAGGAGGGCGTGAAGGGAGGGCAGAAGTATGGGGGAAAAAGGAGAACCAAGACCTGTCATGTAAAGGTACAAGATCCCAATGATGAATGTAACTGTTGTGTATACCTAAAATGCACCAATGAACAATGAGAAAAAAAAGAAATATTTTGATCTTTAAGATGTGTCTTAGTCAACTCAGGCTGCTATATCAAAATACCACAGGCAGTGGTGTTAACATTATAGATTTATTTCTCACACTTCTGGAGGCTTGAAATCCAAAAGATTAAGATGCTAACAGATACATTTCTTGGCAAAGACCCTAATTCCTCATTTGTGTCTTTTCAGCCTGTCTTCACATGGCCTTTCCACTTCTGGGGAAGGAAGCAGGAGGGGAACAGACAGACAGACAGACAGACAGAACCCAGAAATGGTTGAGTAACATTTGAATCATCTAATCATAAATTCACACTCCACAGGGAAGGTCTTGCCTTTCAGATTTCTCTTATCTATATCTACCCCAGATTCTGGTTAGCTTAAACAGTGAGAGAGACACAATCTCAAACTCCTCAAGTAAGACTCACAAGAATCAAAAACCTTAGCAAGTTTTAAGACTTACTGATAACTTCAAGGATACAAGTAATTGCAATACACAGGTCTCTAAGAGAGCCAGGGGTCTCAAGGAGAGGTTTGAGACTTGGCAGAGCTCCCTAGCACCTTCACTGCTATATTACCACTTTGGGGTCCCTAAACATGGTACGTGGATGATCACTCATGCAAAAAAAGTTATTAGAACCAAGATACATCATGTAAAGGTACAAGATCCCAATGATGAATGTAACTGTATTGTATACCTAAAATGTACCAATACACTTAATGGAAAGTTATTTAGTTCACAAAACATCACCACTTTTATACTCAAATAGTTACACAGCCTACATGAGACTTCCTAGAAAATTTTGCACCTTAAGTTCTAATTTTCTTTACCATTATGAACCAAATTCTTATGTCCTTCCTTAAGTTCCTATGTTGCCATCCTAACCCTAATATAATGATATTAGGAGGCAGGTCTTTGGCAGGTGATAATTCGCCAAGGTGAAACACTTAAGAATAGAATCAGTAAAATTAAAAAGGAGGAGGAAAGGGAGAAAAGGAAAAAGAGGAAGGGAGGAGAAAGAAAAACACAGTGGGTTCAGTACTCTTATAAGAAGAGACATGAGGGCCGGGGATTTAGCTCAGTGGTTCCACAGCCTGCCTCTGAAGTACAAGGTCCCAAGTTCTATCCCCAGTACCAAAACACAAAAAAAGTGAGAGAGAGACCTAAGAAGAGGGCTTACCAGAGGTCTCTTACCAGAGACTTGAGCTGTTTGCACCTTGATCTTGGACTTCCCCATCTCTAGAACTATGATAAATAAATGTTTTGTATAATCCACCATATATATAGTAATTTCCACTGCGGCAGCTTAAACAGACTAAGAAATTTACCATAAAGCAATTCTACAGCATTCAGGCACATCCTGATGAAAGGCTTTCCAGAGGTAAGGCATCTCCTGTAAACTACCATGAATTACCATCAGTTACCATCAGTGGCTTTTTAGAAGGTCTACTATTAGCAAGCACACGATTGCCTTGCAGACTTTTGGCTAAGAGCAAGTGTAGCATGAACACATGAGATTTAAGCAGAATGCTTTCTTTTTTGCTATCCCAGAGGCATTCCAGAATCCTTACCCAAAGGAAAGGAATAAACCACAGACCTGTTGTTAACTGTCCTTACCACAATATTGAAATTACATCATCACCAGTTAAAAGAATGATACTCGAGGAATATGGTTGGTTCAAAAGACTAACAAGCATTACTTCCCTTGCAAAAATGAAAGAGAAAACACTTATCAAAGCCAACAGCCTTCTCTGGTGGAAGAGTGTTCCGAGTCTGGAGTGTGTTCTGTCTCCTACTATCCCCAACTCAACTTGGGGCTGTCAGCCGGCATGACAACTACCTGATTTTTCCATCAGAATACCACTGCCTCTGCCTCCAAATGAACCTTTCCTACAAAGTGCTTGCCAAAAAACAAGAACTGAGTTAACAGAGACTGCAGGCCCTGGTCCTTGCACTTCGGCCACTAAGCAGCTGTATCATTGGCCCAGTGCCATGGCTTATATTTAGATGCCCTCCTCCCTCAAAGTCTCATGTG